TAGGGTGCGTGCACTTGCCAAAAAGACAGAGACAGAGAGACAGAAAGTGAGAAATCACCCCCCCACAGGGGATGACCATGCCGCAATCCCTTTTCCTCTGTTCTCCTCTTGGAATCTTGGGCATGCACGCACACATGCCCAGCATGAGTTTAAGCCACTGGGTCTGGGACTCGAACCATAGTCGACTACATGGAGTCCAGCGACATAGCCATTACGCCAACTGCTGGTCCGCACCCGGTGTGATTTTCAAGCTGCTGGTTCTAGGACTCACATCATGGTTGGCCGTATGAGAATACAGTGCCTTAACTTCCACGCTACCTGGCCCCAGTAGATGATTATTTTAAGCATTTGAAAGAGGAGGAGGGCTTAAAGGTGCCAGAAGAAGGAAGGTGGTGTGAAACAGTGAGAAGGGGCACTGAGAACCTACACGTTATAGAGAAAGCTCCAAGGTTAGAATGTTTTACATTTGTGTTACTAATATAGTTTATAAATATGCTGTGAATACATTGAGGGAAGGAGCTGGAATTAGTTAGACATGTTCACAGAAAGGACTCTGAAAGTCAGGGTCACAGTGGAGTCCACTGGTGCGACGTGAGTTGGGGAACTCGATGGTAATCTGTGCAGGAAAGGCTCTTGGTTTAGATGGGTGCAGGAGGCTTCTGCCTCTTAACACAACGTCCCTCAGGGGTATCCTCTTGGACCTCAGCAGTTTTAGACTGGGCAGAGGGGACTGTGATTCTAGAAAGAGTGAATTAAGCTGACCTGAGAGTATAAACCAAGTGAGCAAACAACCTACAGAAGGGGAGTAAAGTTCACAGAGAATGTTTCAGAGGAAACATTGTAATCTGGAGAAACGGGAGAGCGGAGGGGTTGGGGACCCGGTTTGTTCTCAGGGTTTCCCGATGCCATCTACAGACGTCGTCTTTGACCCTTCTGTATGACATCAGTGACGGGACTGTGGAGGAGAAAGGCATTTGGTAACAGGCAGAGAAGCATGAGCACAGGCAGAGAAAGCAGCCGAGAGAGAAGGTCAATAAAAGGCTCAGTTGTGGGGCAGCAAAGGCGATTGACAGGCATGTATGATTTCATTTATTCACTTGGCCAGCGTGTCGTTAACTGTTAAACACACAATTTCTGATGTCATTCTCATGGCAGCCCTCAGTTCTGTTTGGGTATCATTTTCTTTCCTTTTTTTTTTTTTTTTAATTGCAGAAGACGGGTAGATTTTAGAGGCATTTGAATAAGCAGTCATGTTTTGCTGTTTT